GCAGCTTTGCATGACATTCTTCTGGACGTGTTTCATTGTGGCGATAGTGTAGTTGTACGAGACCAGAGATGTAGTTAATTGAGCGGTTTCACACAAAAAAAGTCTTACTTCACAGTTTTACTTGCAAAATTATCTTTTAAATTGACAAACATCATATGTGTAATTTGTGGCACAATTCAAAAGGGATCAAAGGATCAATTTTCTCTCGCCATTGACTTCAATACATAATTTTTCCGAAATAGCTTTGATTTTTGCTGTATTAACCATTTCCTGAACATTTGGTGTGTGTGCCTTACCTCTGCTACCGGCATCGCTTCATACAACAGATCTGAGCTGTCCAACTATGACAACTCTCCTTGAACATGCGCGCTATGGGAGAATCTGCCTTGGTACAAAGTACCAGTGAAAACATGGTTCGGAGTTTCATTGATTTGGGCATTCTCTCAAAAAGTAAGTGGAATGGATTTGATAGTGAAGCACTGACACAGCGCTCTACAAAGTGCGGCGAGTGGATAGACCGATTCACAGACTTTCCACATGGTAAAAGTGGGGGGGTCTAAACTAATCATTTGAAATAGTGGGGGGGACTTGTCCCACCCTCATATGATGGCTGCGACGCCCATGCTCATCCCTCCTCAAATGTAATTATACTGCTCTTGTGTTTACTGTCTTTTTGCAGGTTTGGCAGTTCACCAGATAATCACAATCACTGTGTCTCTCATTATGGTTATCGCAGCCTTGATCACAACACTCGTCCTTAAAAACTGGTAGGAAAGATTCCTTTACTTTTTGTATTATGTATTGTGTTTACAGTCTAACCCATCTGTAAGAACTTCTGCTATGTCAGAATATCCTTTGGATGATGAGAAGGGTACAAGGTATGATTTTATGTTTGTTTCTTGTCTTTGGTGCGTGTTTTTGTAGCTGTGCGCAGTCGGGAAATGGCCGCCACAATAGCCATCAGCGCAAGATCCACCAGCAGGAAGAGAGCTGCCAAAACCTGACAGACTTCACCCCGGCCCGGGTGCCAAGCAAGGTGGACATATTCACTGCCTACAATGACAGCCTGCAGTGCTCACATGAGTGCGTCCGGACTGCCGTGCCAATCTACACTGATGAGATGATCCAGCAGACGCCTGTCTACAAGACTGCTTACAATGGAAACAGGTACGCCGGCCCAGGGCTGTTTATAGCACAAGAGGGATGCACACAGGAATCACTGTTCCGTTGGACATTTCAACATTTCAAGTCTTTTCCAGGGAGATTTTTTAAATCAGGCATTACAGGTTAATGTCCTGAATATGATGTAACCCCATGCTGAAGGGCAGAGCCAGATTTATTTAAACTGGGTTAAGAAATGTTGTTTTCCTAATATTAGTGGCTGTATGAGGGGATAAATGTTCTGATAACTTGACAGTATAAAGCATTACAAAATGACAAGGAAATGAAATACTTTTCACCAAAATAACTGGTTACAGACACATTTTTGAAATTACTAGGATGTTTTACATTACAATATGTTTGACACCCCATTTATATTTTAGCCATTTCATGTAGTAAGCTGTTCACCAAAGAAGTTGGGTCAAGATTTTTTTTTTTCAGGTTGAAGGCACCAGTAATTTTATTATAACGGAAAAACAAATTCTTCATTTTTGACCTCAAGGTACAGGTACAGGGCCAATTGTTTTCCCCTCCACATTCAGCCAAGTTGAATATCAGGGTCAGAACCAATTTAGAGATAGGGCCGGAATTTCCCACCGAATTGGAAAATAACTGTTAAAACTACTTTTTTTCTCCATAAAATGATTAAATTCCTCACATTCTTCCCCTTGCGTGCATTTCTAATCTCAACCACAATCAGTGTCAGTCAGAGGCTTGTTTTCTCAGCAAAGCCATGGGTTGCCCTTAATGCTTTCGTCCATTCATTCCTTGATCATCTGCCCGAGTGCTCAGCCCTGGCACGCTCAAGCTGCACACAAAAATCCAAACCTACCTGGGATTTTTGTTTTGGCTTAATTAGTCAGTTTGTAGATGTTGGGCACTGCAATGTGGAGTCTTTACAGAGCCATTGAACTGATCCTTCTGACACCATTTCAAATGGCAGACAAGTAATATATATACACTTTAAAAACTCAACGACTAAACCCAAAAGTCATGAAATGTAATATCCGTAAACTGTGCTCAAAACATCTATGTTTACCCACCAAACTAATATGCGCTGCTTCACACCAAAAGGAAGGTGTAACACTGTTGAGTCATTGGTGTGTTTGCTTTCCACTCTGAGTTCAAATCGCTTCTCTCTGTGGATGAAGATGTGTCACTCTTTGAAATACAAAGGAGTTTTGACTGTGTTACTGAGTGGATAACAGTAAGAGTCAGCAAAGCTGCATGGCCGCCAAAGATGGTCACACTTACTCTGAGTATCTGAATCCTGTAACAGATTCATTATTCTGGCAGCGGGGATAGGATCCCTCAGCTGGTGTAAATAGTACAAAGTGTCTGGATTTAGTCATGGAAGGAGGGCAAAATGTTTAGCATCAACGCTGCTGATTAATTCAGGAATTATTAACTTCAACAAAAAGTCTCAGTATGTTTTTTTCTGTCGCTCTGCTTGTGTTTCTCTGTGATTAGTGACACCGATTTGACCAGCATTGGCAAAATTATTATGTGATAGTAACTTCTTTCAAAAATAATTACTTGTGCCGCCATGTGGCTCAGTATCAATGAGGGGGACCCAGGTTTCAAATCTGGCCTGGGACTATTTATGCATGTCATCATCTCTGTCTCCGCATTTCAACCAACCAAGTCTCACAAATAAAGTGTAATAGCTACGTTGGTCTACAAGGGAAAACGTAGTAATTTAACAAAAAACCCTCTCAAATGTTGACATGGCAAAATATATATTTTTTATACATTCCCAATGGCCAGTGCCCATGTTACGTCATCGTCAACTTTCCCGGTGTGAAAAAACAACAACATGGTTTGCAATGACTTTCTTTCTCCATAAAATGATTAAATTCCTCACATTCTTCCCCTTGCGTGCATTTCTAATCTCAACCACAATCAGTGTCAGTCAGAGGCTTGTTTTCACAAATGTATTACACACATGTGAACGCCTCTCTTTGTCTTTTCTAAAGGCTAGCATTTATACCTGAAAAATGCACTTTAAACAATATGTTCTAGACTTGACAGTATTCTTTAGTAGAAGACACAATAAGATGCAGTAGATGCTGACCTAGCTGTTCTTCGCTTTGTAAATAAATAATCACATCTATATGTAAAAATGTCGACAAATACTCCCTAAACTCATGTTGACACAACAAATGTTTATCAATAATGTCTCTTCAGAATCAATTCAGGTTAAAAGCTAACAATAAAAAAAATGGTGCTACTCAATGAAATGCAAATATGCAACCAACTACACTCCCATCTATCTATAACAACGTTCTCACCTCTTTACCCTACAGGCCCTCCCCCACTGAAAGACAACTAATTCCTGTGGCCTTCGTGTCAGAGAAATGGTTTGAGATCTCTTGTTGACAAGCTGAAGGCCTTCTTCACTTCCTCTGGGTGGAAGACACTTCCTGAATTCACACTCTGGTGGGTACTGTGCCACATTTTAATTGCACAAATCCTTGCATGAGCCTCAGTCACCTCTATACCCGTGGTAATGCTGCCCCACTTTGGGACCAGAGGGGAACTTGGCATGGGTTTGTTTCAAGTGACATGACTGCGCTCCTTTCAATCGCTGGGCTGCGATGAAAAAGGGCTGAGAAATCCAGTTCAGTGGCGTATCAGAGGTCCTTTAGTTGAGATAAGAAACTAATTATGAACATATCAGGAATAATAAGCTTTATTCTCAAAGTTAATGATTTCACTCCTCATATCTGAAATACTTTCATTAATATTCATGTTGCCCCTTTCTTTCTTACACCATATTGTTTTGAACAGGAATAAAGAAGCACTTTCACTTGACTTGTGAAAATTTTTTTGTATGCATGGTAATGTATGCAAGAATGGCCCGCATTTGAAATTCAAAGCGTTGAAAGTTAAACACATGCTCCGGCCCCACAGTGTTGCTGGGAGCCCGGGGGGAGGTGTAACGTCTGCTATTGACCCAGATAAAAGGAATAGATTGCCTGCAGGTAGCGTAGTGAGAGGACAGCGCCTCGCCATTGTCTGGACACACATTAGTCTCATTCTGTTCTGCTCTACACAGCATGTGCCTTATGCTGCATACTTACAATATCTGTTACTGTTACACAGCAGACCTAATGTATTTCCTAGGCTAAAGTGTAGGTTTTTGTATAGTTTTTGAACATTTTTTTTTTAACTGATTCAGGAAATGGATACCAACTATCCTAAGCATATAAGGGTGTAACACAAAACAGAATTATTAGTTTTTTTGTACTTCAATTTTGGGGTCATGTGTTGTACAGTATGTTCGTGCTGTACGGTCAGCTAACCAATGAGAACGACTGGATTCTGGTTTCAGACAGAAGGTGAAAAGAGGTTCTTCATGAGAAAAATAGAATTTTTTTTAACATTAAATCATGTAAACATGTCACAGTAGAGGCACAAATTACAAATATGAACCTGGAAATGAGCATAACCTAAAGACATTTAAACAATCTTAATGTCGATAAAAAAACAACAACAAATAATAATGTTAATAGCTGAAATGTAAAGAGCCTGACTTCAACCGGGCTTTATACAGTGCACGTAAAACAGACCTAGTAAATGCACATATAAAGGAACATTCAAGGACTTCGACTATACAATATGCTTTAATTCGTAATTGTCTATATTAATTATATTGCCATATACAGTATACAGCAATTAACACTTAATTAACACACAACACACACACAATTAGGAAGTACGCCTGTTGTTAAAGTCCTATCTGTGTTACAATGTTTTTATTTTGTGCCGGGCTTAAATTAAGAATAATTGTGGTTTTGTTCTCCACAGGATCCAGTTGGAAACACACAAAACAGCTTCTTTTGTAAAATAGTGCGATCACTCTTTGGACACTGGTGAAGATATTTATTTTTCTAGAGATGACAAGCAGAGCAGCAACAACGCTGCCACACAATATTTCCAGGAACGTACAGTCATTTAGATATAGATTATATATAGGTATATTTACAGGATGTGTGGGACTTTTGGACGTCACAGATGTCTCAAGGACAACATTTGACATTTGAAAAAAAACCCAAGGAGCTTCTGTGGGTGGAAGGTGAACTGTAATTCTGAACAATGTGCCAATAATGCCACTATGTGCCACAACCTGGATAGAAGGAAGTTTCAACAACTGATGGACTAAACAAAGAGCGCTATATTAACCCTGTATCGACTCCAACTACTTTTTTTTTGTGTTTTAAAGAAATGTGAAAGATTAAAAAACGCTACAAATGTATTTGAATATGTTTTGAAATAGTTTTAAGATATGTGTTGATAAAGAGTCTAAAAAGATATTTATATGAAGCACTATTCTATTAGTTTGGGAAGAGAGGGGGGGAAAAAAGAAACGGTATATGCTTTAGCGAACAGTTGATTTTAAAACATGGTTTATATAGGTCCCATTTTAAAAACAGAATAGTTATGTCTATTTTTTTACACAGTAGATTCAAACGGTGAAGGTCCCTAGCACCTGGGATTCAGCGCTGTTAATTAAATACCCGAATAGAGATTAGAAGAAAGAAAAAGCATATGAATACACCTCATGCAATCCAACCCAACACCCGCTCCAATCGCTTATTATGTAAGATTTGTACCTGATTTGGCTTAATGGAAAAACAGACAAAAGGGTTCTGTAGTAAAGGAACAAATCCAATAGCAGCAAATTCACGAATAGCTAGAGTAAGTACAGCCACAACAGACTGTATAGAGCTGGGCAGGACATTCATACTGCCTCAGGTCTGTCTAGCTCTCTTGCACACTTTATGTTGGTCTCAGTTTCAGCAGCTGTTCGGGTACATTCTAATGAACCGTTATGATTTAAAAGGGTGGAAGAGATTCAATTCAAGCCTGTAAATTCATGTGATAATTTGCATTAAAGGGACAGAGATTGAAAAATGTATCTTTCCACAGAGACTAAATGATTATTCCCACGCAACCACCAAGATTAACTTTTGATACATTATTTTATGAAGCCTAAAAAAGTCTGTATTAAAGTCAGAAAGTCAAGATGAACATGAACCAATTTGTAGTTGATGGAACATCCAGTTTTCAAATGAGAGTGTCGATCAGGATCAAATGATCTACGACGTCGATTTTAAACCCTAGCAAGGGAAGAATTCCCTCGCCCAAATGTGAGGTAGGGGCCAGTTACATTTCTCCAATCAGCACTTGAGGACAATATTTCTAGCAAATCAGAATTTGCTATTACAGCCAAGAAGTTGTGGGTTGTGCACACAAATAAATGTAGGCTGTAGGAAGCAGAGCGCAAACACAATACGAATAAGTAGTACATGTTGTCCTCTCAATCTCAAAACACTCTGTCAGTGTATTACTGAAGTAAGGGGATTATGACAAGCCAATCAGCTGCCGCCAAATTGCTTTAAACTATCTCCTATGTCAAGGTTAGGGGAACCCTTGGTCAGGAAAGACAGTAAATCGCTCCTGAGAGCTTTCCACCCCCAATAATTGTATTATCAACCTCCAGCTCTGACAGACCGATTACCTTTGTGCTCCAAAAGCTCTTGAGGAAACCACCTTTGAATCTATCTTTCATTGTGCTGTGGGTTTGTACAAAGCACAAATACAATTCAGAAATTGTAAACGTTTCTTGGCTGCAGACAGCAATATGTACTGATTAAAGCGGTGGGTTTTATTTCCGCGACGACAGCGGATCTCCCGTAATTCGCTTCGGTTGTTTCAAGGCTCACCTCCTTAAAGAATTCAAGGTTGTCCCGGAAGGATCAGTATCGGTAAATGTGAGCCATTCAGGATGTGCCAACACGGCCTGGGATAAACACTGTGGTGCAAAATTCACGATTTTTGCCCATTCACAACATGATAACCACTCTCATGAATGACCCATACCAAGTCAGCCTCACATGTGTGTGTGTCAGGCTGCAGCGTTGCTTCTTTGACATAACATATATTTTTTTGAATGAAGAGTGCTATCTTACTAGTCAGAGGGTTACGAAAACTTATTGTATATTATACACGTGTAAATGTATTTTCTATATATTTGCTTCTATTTGTGTACAGGTGTGTTCTATTTTTCAGGACCTCTCCCATTTCTGGGAAGGTTTTCAGCTAGGTCGGGGATAGTGTCTTTGTTTACATGTGTAACTACAGTATTTCTTTTAAAAACACAAAACTAACATTGTGCCAAGCTTCCTACCTGCACTTTCAAGCAGTACTTGTATTATATCTTTAGCTAACCAGTATAATACTTCAGTAGACGCTGCAATAGTTCAGAGGCTGGGGAGTGATTTCCAGGAGGAATGTCTGAAAGTACTGAAGGATTCGAAGAGGTGTGATCATATCTTGGGTTCTGCTGCATTCATGGTTGGCTGGGAAACCAATTACTTTCTGTTCTTATCATTTCTACATGGATTCTAATATGAAGTGTTTCATCACATAAATTAAAAAAACAAAACAGTGTTAATCCAATAGTAGCTGCCAAGAAACCGACTAAACTTGATGTTACGTTCATTTGTCATATTTTATATTTGTATATACATATTGCTACAACTGCCCCATTAAATGTAGGATTTGCCACATACTTGTTGTGACTGCAAAAACTATATAGCATTTTTGAGTTCATGAAATCATCAGGGAAAGATGTTTAAAGAAAGAATTGTGGGGGAAAAATTGACCTTGTTAAAAATGCATACATGAGTTTCGCACAATTTTCGTATTCATATTTCAACATTATAAAGTATAGGCCTAATTTGGGTTTATTTCGACTTGGGTCTTACTGTCAGCCTTGACATACACTGGCCTTGTCAGTCAACCCTCTGGTGCCAATGGAAACATGTATTTGATAGACTGCAATGTTAGCATCAATTAGCTAAAAACACTATGTGCTCAAAGATCTGCTAGTATAGCTTTCCATTCTCAGGAATAGTAGCCAAAGAAACACCAGTCCAACAGTTATGGTGACTAGGAACACGTCATCTTTGCTAAAATGAAGTCCAAAGGGATAAAGATGCGTTAAAATGTATGCGTATCAAGTCGAGCTGAGACTGGCGCCAGGACACAAAACTGCAGTCAAACAAATGGTCACTTTCAGCCAATTTCAAAAGACCCCTATTTGTTTTACCTGACTTTGGAGCAGATATTAAAATGTTTACAGTCTGGTGTAAAACATGGTTTTGGTCTCTATAGCAAACTTCCCTACTCATGACAACATCAATTTACCCACTGTAATGGTGACCCGAAAGGAAGTAAGAGAACAAGACCCAAGTTTTTATAGACAAAAATTATGCTTTAAGCTTACAAAATGAAGATTGCGATCTCTTTCATCAAAAATTGTACTTGTTGTTACCAAGTTTGTGTCAATGTGACATTGAAAATGGTCAAAATTGTATACCAAGTCGATGATGATTGTGTGAGACTGCTCTCTCATTCTTACCACTTACTAAATCTGATTCAACTGAGAACATTTTGACATTCATTCCTGTGTGTCATACTATGTGGTAAAACATTAGCAGGTTTTACTTCAGTAAGTCTTGAAAAGCATGTTTGCATTGGTAGCAACACTCATGAAAACCACAGGGAGCTGCCGGCTAAAACCAATTGACTTTGCATTTCTGAAGGACTTCTGGACAAGGAAAGATAGAACTTGAAGCTATGAAACACATTTTAAAACAGGCTATTGGTAGACATAGGCATACATCCCCCTTCCTGCTTTTTACCTCTGTCTGAAATCAAACTGATACGTAAGGAAATGCCTTACTGCTTTCTTGCCTTTTCAGTTTATCTTCAATGATAGCCGATGATAGCGATTTATTATAGCTAAGAGGGAGGAAAATGATTCCACTTGGCTGGTCAGATTTGATTCAGGAAACAGAGCAGTGCAGGCAAAAGACAGGGGGAAGGGTGCTTGTAAAAAAAAAAGAGTCTTAAACAGACAACAAAGACTAGACATGCCTTTTTCACAACGAATGAATATTTTTCAACTCCCGTTTCTGTCTCTTCAGCAGCCCGTGAAACCTATGCTCCCATCAGCACAAACAAGCTATCAATCAGCCAGGGTTTTCCTGTCAAGATGAAGGATGTGCCGTGCACTCATTTGCAAGGACTGTGATTCCTGTTTGCATGTCAGAGATACAGAGAGGAACCTATTGACATATGGTTCTGAATTAGATATCGGCTGAACATCTCCAAGGCCGAGGTTTTGTTTATTTTCCATATCATTGGAAGCGTTCGCAAGAGGAGAGTAATCAATGTATGGATTACTCAGTTTGCCCTGGGGTGTCTCATTATGGTGCACACATGTCCGCATTAATGTTACATGTTGGTGAATTTAATTTCAAACAGAAGTCGATAGGTTGCTCAAACAGCAGGGAGAAAGATAAATACATGTTCTGACAACAAAAAAAGGAAAAAGTGTATCTTTACAGTCCTAGAAGCGTATACAACTAAATCCACTCCGCTTCTCCTTATTGTTCCAGAAAAATCACATACTGTGCGCTTACTGTAAAGCGGATGGCTTGGACTCTCCTTTGGGCCATGTTGTTACTTTTTTATTCAAAAAAGCTAAGGCGCTGTCAGTGCGTATCAATCAATGAAAAAATTCTCACTTTGGTTGCAACATCTCAATTTTCCCATAATCCCCCTGTTCAATGGAGTCTAGCTGTGTGACCCAAATCTGACATATTTGACATTGCACAATGTCTTCAGAATAGAGAGTTAGCCTGGAATGAGTGACACGGCAAGGAAATATTGATGCATTGCTCCTCGAGAGTTGATCAAATCAATTTGGACATTGCTGTCCAAAAAAAAAAACACTACATTTTCAGGGCTGAGGAAGTTGTACAAGTTTTTTGTTTCCTTTTTTAGGGAATGGGGGGGGTCTTTTGACATGTGGGCACACAAGTGGTCTGTTCATCGAAGCCGACTTACAATCACAATCCATCCCCACCATGAAGAAGCTGACTCGAGTTGTGTTGTCGCCATAAAAATGAAGAGTTTGTACTTTGTGACTCTTACATTTTTTATATTTGTGTTTAATATATCAATGAGTACCTCTGTTAACTTTTGTATAAGACCTATAGTATATACAAACACACATGCACACACAACACACCTCCACAAAAGGGACTCCAGTCTGTCTCTGTGACGGCTAAATGTTGTGTACATTTTATTTCGTGTCCTATGAACCACATCTCTTCCTTTTGTAGTTATTGGTAAACGTTTCGATTTCCAGGTGACTTTGATTTGGTTACTCTTGTACTACTAAGCTCTGTATTTGCAAGCACTGTAAATGCGATTCTCATTGGATTCGTCCTCTGTACATTTAGTACTCTGATGTTGCTATTAATAAAATGTAAAAAAACACAGGCTTGTGCTATAAGGAGTTTCTTTGTGTGACTCAGAACGGGGAGGGTAAGACAGCGATCACGGCAAACAACACAAAATAAAAATATATGAATATGAATACAAGCTGGGTTCTGTATGCGTTTTTTAACCTGTTAAGCCCCGCGTGTCAAGAACTTGGATACTCAAAGGTAAGGACTCAAATGCACGATCCGGGAGCCAGAGGTAAAGTATAATTAATATACTTTATTTTTTTCACAAAATATATACAAAAGAAAAACACTCTTACGAGGGGACAAAAACGGTCCAAAAAGGCACAACTAAATATCGCTCACAACGGGAGGAACTAAACTTTCAACAAGTTTCAGAAGCATAAAGTAGGCTTGTATCAAGGAGCAATCAATGACGAGCAGAGTACTGGTATGAGGACAAGACAAGACAAGACGAACTGACAAAGGGGAGCTGGGGAATATAAACAAAAGGTAACTGGGCACAGGTGGAAACAATCAGGGGCGGGGCTGGTGCTGATGAGAGCGGGAGGGTAGGGAATCAAGGAACCTGGAATGAAGCATAACCGGTGAGTGTCAAAATAAAACAGGAAATGGAAGACAATACGAAAATTAACCAAACAAAAACATGAAATATGACTAAACTCAACACTTTTCACGGGACACAACAGTACGGACCCGCGGGAGGGGGCAAATATATATATATCCTTTATTTAACCAGGTATAAGACTCATTGAGATTAAAATCTCTTTTCCAAGAGTGAACTGGCCAAGAAGGGCAGCATGAACGAAGTTACAACAGATAAAACACAGACAAGACAGGCAGACAAATACAGCTGTAAAAAACTAATAAAATGGCACATTAGCCAGTCAATATGCGAAATAAAATAAATTATTAAAAATCATTAAAACTGGCAACATTTAAAACAATTTTTGGATATACGAGCACTCTACATTTACCAATGTTATCAGGTTCTCTGTCCTTTAAGATGGACTTGAATTCCCCCATAGTGATTACATCTGAGAGTTTCAGCTCCTTCTGTACATTGTTCCAAGCTGTGGGGGCAGCATATTTAAAAGCTGTTTTGCCCAGTTTTGTTCTCACTGTAGGAACCAGAATCTGAATAAAATCTTGAGAGCACAGGCCATAGACTTTCTCTATGACACATATATGTGCAAATGTAGGAGGGAACCAACCCAAGCAGAGATTTATAAATAAAACACAACCAATGGGAAAGTCTGCGAGCAGACAAAGATGGCCAATTAGCAGCAGCATATAAAGTGCAATGGTTTACTCGATATCCACATCCAGTAATAAATCGTAAGGCACAATGGTACACAGTATCCAAGCTCTTTAGGCACTGGTCAGAGGCATTCATGTATAGCAGGTCACCATAATCTAATACAGGTAAAAACGTTGCAGATATCAAATGTTTCCTCGTCTGAAAAGAGAAACAGGATTTATTTCTGTAAAAGAAACCTAATTTTATTTTTAGCTTTGAAACAACATTTTCCGTGTGTAACTTGAAAAACAAGTTCTGTTCAATAAGAAATCCCAGCTATTTGTAAGTCTCAATGTCAGTCCCTTGTGCAGTACAAATCTTGGGTAGAATAGATGCTAACTTTTTGCCATTCGAAAATATCATCACTTTGGATCTTTCTGCATTTCATACCAACTTCAGTTGATATAAATGGGTTTGTGACATCAAAGGCAGACTGGAGGAAATCTAGACTTTGCTCTGTAGAAGCGGATGAACAATAAATAACAGTATCATCTGCATACAAATGTTAAGAAGCATTTGCTAAATTATTACATAGATTATTTACATATATGGTAAAAATAATGGGTCCTAATATGGAACCTTGTGGCACACCCTTTGCTATCGGTAGGACGGAAGAAGAGGACCCAGAAAATTGGACGCATTGAGTTCTCGCTGATAAATTATTTAAAAACCAACCTACAGTATGCCTAAATAAGCCGATACTGTGAAGTCTTTCCGCCAGGATGATATGATCAACTGTGCCAAAAGCCTTTGACAAATCAATAAATAGAGCTGCACAATACTTTTTACAGTCCAATGCCTCTATTACGTTCCCTTCTGAGCTAGGGGAATCAAAGGGAAGCAACACAACCAGATTGGTATTGGTATAATTATAAGTGGTTTTAATGCACAACAGGTGAACAAAATGGCAGGCAAACAGCCTGA